ACCAAGTTTTATTCAGGTACAAGCTCTCCCTCCTCTGCGAGGACAGATCTGCACGTCCCCCCCCCATAGCTAGCAATCCAAAACAGTCCAGTGGAGCCTGAGCGGTGGGTGTTGCCTTCTGACACACTCCCGGTGATGTCAGGGGGTGTGGCATATGCAAATAAGTTACGCTAATGAGCTCCTGCACCTCTTTTTCTATGAAATGACCCCTGGGTGGAGAGGAGAACGATTTATGCTGCTTTATCCCCTTCTCGCCAAGCAGTCAATGGGTAGGGCCCAATCCACACGCAGTATGCTTAAAACGAGGGACCACTACCAAGGTTCACCACGGAGAAACCAATGTGTCACAAAATGTCAAATCTGGATGGAATTCAAATGAATCAGAAGTTGCATCACACTGGGTCAGAGCGGTGGACTAGACAAGACAGCTGTGCCAGGAGAAACGTCTTGAATTAAAAGGGTCCTGTGAGGCCACCATACCCATTCACAGAGTATGCCCACTGCATCTCTGCATGATTCACAGCCACGGCTTTTTCAATCAGCCCTCCAGAAGTGGGCAATTCTGCCTCGCCACCAAATCGAGTGTGACTGAGTGACCCAGAGACACTGAAGAATTACCCATTCTGCGTCTCTGCCTGAGTTACTGCTCCAATCAGTATTTTGTATGGGAAGCGATTCTGATGCCTCTATGCATTGGGAGTGGTTGGACTACATAAACTCTTTCCTAATGCCAAGAAGAAGCAGAATCATCTATCCCAAGAGCGGGCTGCCTATTGTGCCTCTGTATGAATAGGTGGTAGGAATAAGCTTTATTTTAATCAGACTCTCCTAAGGTGTCGCAATTCTGTTGGGCTGCATATGAGGTATGATTGATTGGGTTGATCACAGTCTAAATGAAGATATGCTGCATTATCTATCCCTCAGAGGAGGTTGCCAGGTGCACCTCTGCTTGAATCACTGCTGTAGACTTGCCTTCTTTCAATCTATCTCCGCGGGAAGTGGCGAAATCTGCCTAGTCTCTACATCATGTACTACAGGGGCATCCAGCCATTTCATTCAAACTTCCAGCAGTATTGCCCCCCCTTGAGAGGTTGCCTGTTGCATCTCTGTATGAATTATTCTACTATGCTAGCCTCATCCCCGTCCAAACTGCAAGCTGTGTCCAGGAAGGTCTCTTACTCCAGGAAATATGTGCACCGTCTGCCACCAAAGGGGGGGGGGGGGGGGGGGGAGAGGAAAAAAATATTCCCTGCTAAGCTTACTTTCTGCAGCACAGCCAATCAGCAACAGGGTGATGAGGTTGACAAGAGAGATGAGCAGAGACATTCCAGGGCCGGGGTTCATGCTGACGGTGCGCAGAGGCCGGGCCGCCTCCCCGCTTCAGCAAAACTCACAGCGCCTCCGGATTGGCGTCAACACCTGCAGGAAGAGACACAGAGTCAGGTCGTTAAACGGGGCACAGCTCGGGATGGGGTGGCGCGTGGAAATTCGTGTGCAGGGAAGGAGCGCCGGAACCACCCACATGCAGAAGACCCATCTCAGCCAGAGTCCCAACCTCCGAGAGCCCCGTACGTCGGGTACGCCGACGGCAGCGCCTCCCCCACATCGCACAGAGAGAGGGCCGGAAGCTTCGGAAAAGAAATAAACCGGATGTGCTCAGTATCAAGAGGACCTGGCCCCTTGCTGCTGCCACCCCCTCCCCTCCAGAAGCACCGAGGGCCAGCAAGGATCCCGGGGCCTGACCTGAGCCCCTCACCATTCTACGAGGTCAAACTAGAGGAGGTCTCCCCTTTAAAAAACTGTCAGGGAAATCACAGCAGTGGGGACTCAAGACTGGACTGAAGTCGTGGCACAAGAGAGGAAGGTCTTATAAGAAGAAAGGCGAGACAGAAACGGTGAAACAACAACTGCTCGGCCCTCCCCTCACCATTCAAAACCACCTCTCTCAGCTGTTTGTTAGTCCTAGAAGTTGAGTCCCCCGGGGCTAGGGTCCCCTCTAAGCCAAGTTAGTGTGAGCTCGCTCACAGTTTCTTAGCATCCGGCTCACACATTTTTTTGTCTCCGCTCAGGAAGGATAGCTCCGGAGAAGACTAGTTGATGCAGCAGCCAAATCGCTCGCTCACAACTTTAATGCCGGCAGCTCACGAAGTAGGATTTTTGCTCACAAGGCTCCACAGCTGAGAGGGAGCATTGCACCGCCACCCCCGTTTCGTTCCTCACCTGGGCTAATGGGGGGGGGACATGTCTTCTGTGTTGGCTGGCAAATGGCACAGGAAGAAGGGTGGCCCAGAGAGCCAGTTTGGTGTAGTGGTTAAGTGCGTAAGTGCGCGGACTCTAATCTGGGAGAACCAGGTTTGATTCCCCACTCCTCCACTTGCACCTGCTGGATGACCTTGGGCAAGCCGTAGTTCTGATAAGAGCTGTTCTTGAAAAAGAGCAGTTTCTGTCAGAGCTCTCTCTGCAAGGAGCAAATTGTACAGCACAGTCTATAAAGCCATAAACATCAAAAAAAAAACAACCTGTGAGCTGAAAAGCCCGCAAGGTAGTGAAGGGTGGGGTATAAATCCAATCTCTTCTTCTTCTTCTTTTACCTCACAGGGTGTCTGTTGTGGGGAGGGGAAGGGAAAGGAGTTTGTAAGCCGCTCTGAGACTCCTTTGGGTAGTGAAGGGTGGGGTATAAATCCAATCTCCTCCTCTTCTTCTTCTTGAAAAAGAGCAGTTTCTGTCAAGAGCTCTCTCTGCCCCACCTACCTCACAGGGTGTCTGTGGTGGGGAGGGGAAGGGAAAGGAGTTTGTAAGCCGCTCTGAGACACCTTCGGGTAGTGAAGGGCGGGGTATAAATCCAATCTCTTCTTCTTCCCCAGGCCCTGCGCCACAGGCCCCCTCAAAAATCTGGGCACAGCCGCTATTTCTTTTCAAAACTGCTGGGGAAATCTGCTCCTAGACCTTCCAGGGTGACGTCTTTGTCTGGCTCTTAGCCAAGTGAGACAACGGAGACCGTGTGTGTGTGTGTGTGTGTGTGCCCACGCTGCAGTGCCCTTGCCTCTCGCCAAAAGGAAATCAGCATGCAACGTTGGTCCCTGCAACTGGCAGGCACGACGGAAGCCCCTGAACTGGTCCAAGCCAAACCTCAGGGATAACTCCATCCTCTCCTAACTCGGCGAGATCAACGGTCTGGGCCTGTAAGTTAATGGATGGAACCTCTTTAAAAAAAAAATGCTTCAGCAACAGATGAAGGTTCGGAAGTTCCTGGAGGTGGTACCGAAGTCACGTAATGTGCCCGCCGTGTGCCCATAAATGCCAGCCAGAGCCTACTCAAAGTAGGAGTCTGGCCAGGAAGATTAACAATGTCGACTGATTTCTGATGTTGGGAGAGGAGAAATTATATGACTCACTATGGATTTAGGCAGATTGTGAGAGGGAGGGCAGGAAGGCATGAGCCAGCACTGGGCTCTTGCGGCTTACATGCCCAAGGTAATTCCAGTTGCCACTTTGGGGTCAGGAAGGAATTTTCTTCCAGGGCAGTTTGGCCAGGGATCCTGGAGATTTTTTTTGTTTTCTTGAAGACAGAGAGCAAGGGTCACTGGGGGGGTGGGGATCTGTGAATTTCCTGCATTGTGCATGGGGTTGGACTAGTGGAATTTGTATATTTGGGACTCTTGTGACGGTAGTCTTTTCCCCTTGTTGTCTGGATTTAAGTGTGTCTCTAAGGCAGCTGGTGAACAATGTCTGCCTCAGATAACTCCTTCTCATGTAGGTCAGCGACTGGAGGACCAAACGACCCCTTCCAGGGGTCCAGATCCGGCCCAGCCCGCGCCCAGCTGGCAACTGTCAGCTGCACAGACTGCAGTTGAAACTGCAGGTTCTGTTCTGCTATTGTGGCTTATGGGCAGACCTCGACCTTGACCTAAAGGCTTTTTACTGCAGATTCATGACAGGAAGGAAGAAGAAGAAGAAAAGGAGGAGGAGGAGGAGGCGATTGGATTTATACCCTGCCCTTCACAACCCGAAGGAGTCTCAGAGCAGCTTACAAACTCCTTTCCCTTCCCCTCCCCACAACAGACACCCTATAAAGTAGGTGGGGCTGAGAGAGCTCTTTTGAGGGCTGCTCCTGAGGGAACAGCTCCGAAAGAACTTGTGACTGACCCAAGGTCACACCAGCAGCTGCATGTCAATAGTGGGAGAGCTTCTAATGTCCTGGCCCCACTGGTGGACCTCCTGATGGCACCTGGTATTTTTGGCCACTGTGTGACAGAGTGTTGGACTGGATGGGCCTTTGGCCTGATCCAACATTGGCGTCTCTTATGTTCTTATGTGGAAGACTGGGGAATCAAACCCGGTTCTCCCAGATTAGAGTCCGCACGCTTAACCACTACACCCTGGGAAATCCTGGTCGTGCGAAGGCTGCATTACGACTCAACTTTAGTAGAAAACAGGCTTCAGAAGTAATTTAGTGCTCTGCTTACAGCTCTACAGACACAGACTATTCCTGACATTTCCATTTCTGGGTCGCTTTTGTATTTTTTTTCCAGACCCCGGACTTTACAAATGAGAGAGTGACTGGGGAAAAAAATGGTTAATTTGCAAGCCACAGCGGCAGAACAACATGGGGGGGGGGGTCCGGGGTGAGAAGAGGGGTGACACGTCGGCTCCTGCACGAGGTCCCCTCCCCGACGGAGATGCCGGCGGAGGCGTCAGCTTCAATCCTGTGACTCATCCGTCAGATAAAAAAGGTACCTGCCAAGCCTGGGGACCTGCCAAGCAGGGAGACACACGCTCCTTCCTGTGCCTCCCCGTTCACCTCTGCTGGGGGGAGGCAGAAGCCGCTGGAAAGGACAGCAGGGGGAAACGAGGAAAGACAGAGGAGATCTCAGCAGTCCAGGGGACGTTCTCACCTTCGTTCCTCCTCCAAATCTGGACCACGTTCCCCCTCCCTGCCCAAGTCTCAATCCTTTCCGCTCCCCACACCTGCAGGTCCTCCTGGGCCCATCGGGGCCTGTGGGTCACAGAGGAACAAAGAAGAGTCGCCAGGATGTTTCCGGGGTCTCTTGGCTGACCCCAGAGGAGGCAGCAGAGAGGGACCCCCTTGCACCCTGCCGCCCCCGGGGCCCTTCTGCTGCTGGGCAGGGAAAGGCGGACCCAGGGTCTGCAGTCAGTAGGGGAGGCCGTTGCTTGGCCAGGCTGTGGGCTTCAGCAGGTGCCCAGCCTGGACATGGGCCACCGGGGACCCAGAGATCCTTCCAGCACAGACTCCTGAGGGCACAGCAAGGTGGGGGAGGGGTTCAGACCAGGGGTGTCAAACTCATTTGTTATGAGGGCCGGATCTGACATAAATGAGACCTTGTTGGGCCGGGCCATGTGTGTCATAAAAGATAATGCCAGGTAGCAGAGATATAAACTTTATAAAGGACACAAACGAAAAGGTTTTTTTTAAATTTAAAATAAAAACATGCTTAAAACATTAGCTCTGTAAGCTGCAAACCTACTTTTGATTTATTGACATTCACCACAGAAATCTCATGCTCAGAGGTCTGAGTCTAGGACCCAGATTAAAGCATGAAATGACTGAGTGATTAAGAGAGTCTGGCGAAGCAAGCTATGATGCAGCAGCAGCAGCAGCAGATCTGGAAGCAGGAGATGGCCAGTTCCACTGAGGGCCTGATGGAAGGCCCCCCCCCGGCCTGATCTGGCCCCCGGGCCGCACGTTTGACATCGCTGGTTCAGACAGAAGCTTTGGCGTCTTCGTCTCCTTAGGGACACCATGAACATGAGCAATGCTCCCTCTGAGCTGTGGAGTCTTGTGAGCAAAAGTTCTACTTTGTGAGCTACGAGCATTAAAGTTGTGAGCGAGCAATTGGGCTGCTGCATAAATTAGTTTGCTCTGAAGGCATCCTTCCTGAGCCAGGGCTAAAATCTGTGAGCTGGAGGCCAAAAAACTGTGAGCTAGCTCACTCTAACTCAGCTTAGAGGGAACACTGAACATTAGTAATGTTGCAGGGTGAAGGGACAGATTCAACCTGTATGCGCATATGGAAAAATCCTCCCCCATGCTCCTTCCTAAAGATCCCTGCATGCAGAAAAGCAGGGTGAAAAGGAGAACCTAGCCTAGCCTTTGCACTGACATCCTAGTTTTATATGCACGGGTTTTGGTTTTAAAAAAATTAATGGAAGGAGGTTCCTTCCTGAAGGCCAGGGGCGTCCCCAATCTTTTTGAGCCTGCAGACACATTTGGAATTCTGACACAGCATGGTGGGCTCAACCACAGAACGGCTGCCACAAAATGGCTGCCGCAGCTTCCCTTCAGTCACGCAGCGAAGGCCCTCATGCCACAGTGGCAGCGGCTACTAAAGCAACGTTTTAAGAAACCCGTAAAGGTAGTCAAATCTCCAGTGGCTGATCAGAAGCCCTGCTGGG